TTAATTATCGCATCTTTGGCCTATTTTACGCTAGGTTGTGTTCTTTTGTCACATTTCAGGTCCTAGCACATAAAGTGAAGCATAGGCACAAGTTTCAAGTCAATCAGAGATCAATTGGCGATTAGGGAGAAGAAACTCGGGCATGACCTAAAGAAGAATGGATTTATACCTCACTTTATGGACAAATAATCATGCAATCTTGTCATGAAAAGAAAGAGGATGAGACTACGAGCGTCTGGGATCAACCGGTGACTGATTCAGAGTCCGGACGAGGGAGAAACGAAGCATTGAATATAGGGGAACAGGTTCGGCAATAAAAACACGGGCGCGCCTAAAGCAAAACACGGTCGTGTCCATATTTAGGCACGACAGTGTTTTGGCCGAAGCGGGCGTGTTTTTAACACGGGACAAAACACGGGCGGGCAAAATCAAAGCACGGCCGTGTCCTTGACCTTGTTTTGCCCAGAATCGGGTTTTTTTAGGCAGATTGAAGCCAAAGGAAAGGGAGAGCTGGGTTTTGGATCCCAAACACCCAAGGGACGAACCAAAGAGGGAGAGGTCAATTTGAGGGCATTCTTGGAGTAGAATTGGAGGATTTCTTCGCCTTGGAAGCTCGAGGAACAAACCCGGACTTGAAGACTGATCATCTGAAGATTCTTACTGAAGTCTCTCTCTTCTCTATGGAGTAACTTCCCTTCACTTAGGTTTTGAGGAACCCTAGCTATGTTTGTTTGATTGGATGATTGTATGAGTACTCTGACTTGATAATCTTGAGTTCATATTCAATCTATGCATGTTTTCATGATTCAATTCTGCTTTAGTCGAGATTATTGATTCTGCTTTGATCCTATGAGAGCGAATACCTAATTAGGTCAATAGAGCACCATAGATTGATAGTAGTGGATCGATTGCTTTAGTCGAGGGTTGATTCACTGCTTTGTATTGATTAAGAACCTCATTTGATAGAGGAAATCTAGTTCAGAACGCCTTGATCGGTTGTTCTAGAGAAGGATACCTCCCTCTAGGCAATTGACTCAAGAGGGCCTTGTTCCTTTAGTCGAGACTCAAGGTCTAGTCAAGGATTGTCTGCATTGTGAATGAAAGTGAAACAAGTTAGAAATCATCAATCGTTAATCTGGCTAGTGGCTAGGGGGAATCATACCTAAGTGAGTTCTCAACCTGTAATTAGATTAACTTTAACTGTAGTTTGCTAGAGTAGTTTTAGTTCTTTCATCTTAATCTGGTTTGCTAGATAATGAACTAAAGTTGAGTAATAGTAACTCTAGAGACCCGTGGATTCGATATTTATTACTTGAGCCACTATACTGCAGTCTCTTCCATTGGTTACACTTGGCCGTTGTTAGGTGTTGTGTCATAGCGAGTCAGAGCTCAACTCTAAGATAACTTATAATTAAATACCATAATATTTATATCTTATGCATGATATATGTGATTAACTAATCTTCATGTCATATGCGAGACATATTTGCTCACATACTCAAATTATTAAACATCACATGAGGTGTTATATATACTTTAGTAAGTACATGCATCATTAACAAACCAACTCATATGATATAGATCGATTTTCTCATAAGTCATAATCAATTTGGCTCGCTAGTTACAATGTTGAGACATCTCATGAGCTCAAAATGAGATAGTTCAAGAGTCGAACTCAACAAGCCAGCTAATCAAGCTAGTTCACGAGCCTCACGAGCCAAACAAGGCTGAGCTCAAGCTCAGCTCATTAACAAACGAATCGAGCTTTTATTAAATCAAATGAGCTTTTATCGAGTTCGAGGTCGAGTCGTTCGTGAATAGCTTGGCTCATTAACAGCCCTACATGTAGAGCCTTTTTCACCCACCTTAAATGCTCCCAAGCTCTCTTTGAACCTTTTAATTTGTCTCTTAGTCCATGGTCTATGTAGAGATTTAATTTGAGCTCAAATAACATCATGAGGAGTGAGCAGAGTCGCATCATTTCCTCCCTCTTGAAGAAGATTTGACCTTAAATCTTGTTGTTGCATGTAGACTCTGTTGTATGACTTCATTAACAATGAGCTAGAGTATGCTCCTTGAATCTAAGCTTGTCCACGAACTCTTGCAATCTTCGTCTCTCTCGAATATGAATCTCCTTGTATGGCACTTCATGTATAATAACAAACTCCATTGGTGAACAATCGCAACATAAACGTCACTTTGAATTGTCTTGAATTGTGAAGGGCTTTGACAATGTACACGAGCATAATTTGGTGTACTTGAGGTGTTGATGATCTCTTTGGACGAAATTTGATGATGTTGTATGGATTCTCTAATGATCAACTCATTATAATTAGTAGATTCTGAAAAGAATCTACAACTCTTCTGGATTCTCCTTTAAAGCTAGCTCACCATAATCAACCTTCATTATCCTGTCGGGCATAGGCAGCACCTCTTCATCTTCTAATTCAGACTCTGGTTCTTCTTGAGATGACATCAAAACTTGTGCTTCCTCTCCATAAGTGGCATTAACAAATCGACTAACAAGAACCTTTGTTTTCTCTTCTACTACCTCTTATAATTCTGCCACTGCTTCTTCGAAATTCTCTTCTAGTTAGGAAGTAAGCATATTCATTGTTTTACTCAAACCAACTTCTTTCTCATCCTCGACTTTAACTTCTACTACAACTTTGTCACCACGATTTGAGCTTGAAGAATCATGACTTAAATCAATATCACCAGATCTGATTTTGGTAGCCTCTTGATCTTTCAAAACCTGTTTGTTTGCTTCAATGAGCTCTCTTACAACAAGCTTCTTCTCATTGTAACTCTCTTCACATGCCTTTGACCATTTTTTATTCTTCACAACATTGATGAACTTTTCATTAGCAAAGCCTTCCATCATCTCATGGTAAAGAGATTTCAGATCCCTCGAATGTTTCGGCGTGCCCTTTGAAGATATTGTAGATGTTGGATCTTCCTTATTGTGATAAGTTGTTTGTCCACTTGACTTGCTTTCTCGTGAAGGAAAAGATCTCCTAGAGTAATCTTCAGAACTCTTAAAACTTTAGTGTTGACTTTGGAGTCTAGTTTGGGAATATTTATCATCATGTAGAAATCCCCTTCTCATGACTCGCTTCTAGGGGTGTGCAACGGTTCGGTCCGGATCGGACCAAACTAATGAGAACCGCGATCCATTAGTGAAAGACATCTTAGGAACAAGGATCGAACCATCATTGTGTTTTTTCCATTTGGTCCGGTCCAATATCAACTCGGTCCATCATTTCTTCAGTAATTGTAAAATTAATGTGGACCAAGGACCGGACCGCATTATGCTCGGTCCGGTGCGGTCCGGTCCCGGACTAGACCATTGCACACCCCTACCCGCTTCATAATTTCCCAAGACTCTATTTGCACATTGATATCTCCTTTCCAAGATGCACAAAGTTGATCCCACCATATATTAGCATAATTAGTAAACTCAAGTGCGGCTAGGGTTATCTTTCTTTTCTCTGAATAATGATGGTAATCGAAGATCAACTCCATCTTTCGCTCCCAATCGAGATAAGTATGTTGGTTCCTCAAAATGATGGAATGATCACTTGAATCCCGCGTAGATCATCATCTTCCCTTTGAAATTCACCTTCGTCAACAACAAAGTCATCTTCGAATTTTGCTTCTTAGTAGCGAGGTGGATTTCTTCTAGCATTACGTGTGACTCTCAATGGTTGATGCCATTGAACTTCACGTCGAACTTGATCAAGCAATGGAGCTCGACCACTTCTTCCTCTTCGTGACCTAGGTTTGGGTCATCGGCTACTTGGGGTTGCTCTTGATCGTGCCTCTCCAATGCTTCAATCCTAGCATTGTTTGTTGCATGCTTTTGAAGCAAGGTTGATAGTTGCGTGGTGAGTTGTTGTAATTTCGTCGCCACATCTTGATTTTTTGCCGTTGTTGATTTCTCGCAATACTTCTACCAAAATAAAGCGAGATAATAACACGAACAAATTGCTTTTTTGCCATCCAAGACTCCCGAGATTACTTCAAGAACATGCTACGAACTTCTTCAATATCTTCTCGCCACTAAGCATGAACCAGGCTCTTAATGCCACTTGATATGACCCAAATCCAAGAAATCACTCAAACTCGGCCAAATAATCAGAATTGCGCACTCCAAACGTTAAAGTTTTTCTTCTTTTCTTCAAGAACATTAAATTAAAAGGATAACAAAGAAATCGATCAAACAATTTCGAACTTGTGGGAAGGCTAATCGATATAGTCGATGATCACCACAATTAGATGTGGTTCTAGTTTATAAGAGACGCACACTCCTCTTCTGGACACCTCGAAATAAGACTAGTACACACTAGTTAAATTGAAATCGAAATCACTGTACTTTATTGATTACTTGAAATCTGAAAATTACAAAGGTTCAGCCTCCTTTTGATAGGCTACAAACTCAAATCCAAAACTAAGAAAGAAATCTAAAACTTAACAAGCAAGTAACTAAATCCTTAAAGGAAAATGAAAACATGTAACACCCCGACATTTTGGTATAGGTTCGAGCGAACAATTGGACCGACGGTTACGTACGAAGGATTGCAATCCTGAATTAAGACTAATAATAATAATTAATACTACGAATGAGCCCGCGCTCTGCCGCGGGATATGATTTATTTTTGGAATCAAATGGTTCATTAAGTATTCAGTTCTGTAATTAGAGTTTTATGATGAATAGATTCTTATACTAACATTGTTCAACATTGCAATATAATATTCCCAAAACTCACATTTGTCGACCCAACTATCCAAACCTTAGTTGATTCGTCCATCGTCCAGAATTAGCAAAATTCCTTACATCTTTTGGGCAGCTACCCATTCACTGGAAATAAACATCAGGTACATAGAATCCACTGGCGTTGCTGCAAAGACACTGTTAAGCTATGCTGTAAAGAATTCGCTGGCGTTGATGATGATGTTGTTGTTTGGGTGACGCATGTGCATGTTGGTTTTTGCCTGGGCTATTGCTGAGGTTGGTTGCTGTTGGCCACAGTAAGGATTGTAAACTCCAAAGGGGTTCCAGGTAAATAGCCAGGTTTAGGGAGCTGAACAACAAACGAAAACCAGCGTCCATTCATGGCAACAATTTCTGGAGGGCAATAGCCATGCTGGTGAGGATAACGCGCCGACAGTTCGTCAGCAGTAGTTCCAAGCAAAAACTCAGCGGTCCTCCCAAGCATGATAAAGCATGCAGACCCTGTAGCGTCTCCCACTGCCAAATGGATTTTGTAGCTAAGAAAGAGTATATTAATTCAGGGTTAGTTGGGCGTGGAAATTACAATGAGAGAAACAGCTTCTGTGCTAAACAAACCATTTCTGGGTTTCGTGAGGCATCAACTGGCCATGCTCAGCGCACCAAAAATCCGTAGTACCAGGAAACTTTTTAGTTGTTTTTTAGCAGAATGCGCATCCTAGATAAAACCATGGTCGGGAAGACTGAGCGGAGAGGATCTGTGCTAAGCAATGGTAATGTGTTGCCTATAAGTAAATAAAGCAGCCAAGCAAAGTAAGTTAGGCAGGGAGGCACTCTGTTGGTTTAGGGAAAATGGAATTGCACAAACGGTAGCATCAATTGTGTAGCTAAAAGTAGACAGACAAACAAATAGGTTAGGTATAATAAATTAGCATGTTATGCTTGATCTCAGTATGCATGCATGAAATGCAGTGTTGTCAAAGAAAGGTTTGTGTAAGAAGCACATACATCAACCATTGATGGGTTGCAAAGGTGGATCAGTTCCTGAATTTTCTTTGTACTGTCAGCCTGGAATAGGTGTTCTTCAAAAGAGGTTGAGAACCACGGAGGATAGTATTGAATCGTAACATTTCCACCAAGAGAGCTATACATTGGGGAAAATATTAGATAAAGGAAAAGTAAATTGTCGAAAAGTTATATTGGAAGCAACTTACGCAGAGCGCAAAGTATTTGCCAAATCACACGACGGTTCTAGCACAAATCGTGTGGCAGGGGTGCTGGTCAAAAAGATGGCGTCTTGGAAACACAGTGGAAAAGTAGGCATCAATACATGATAATGTAGAGAAGTCAAGACATTAGTTTCCAGGTAGAAATCTGCGATCTAACCTGTTGTTACACCATTAATCTGAAGGCCACATACACCTAGGACAACAGAACCAGAACGGCCAAGGTATGCGAGTTCTTCCCCATCTAGAGATCGTGCAACATCACCACAGATGGTGATATTAAGGCGCACATGCCTGTAAAAAGCACAGTGTAACAAAGACAATGCAAAAAGAGGAAACAAAATACAACAAATGAAGGTCTGTAAGAGTACACAAGTGTAATGCATCGAAAACCTCTCGTTTTGTATGACCAGCTTGCGCCTAATAATAGCACGAACAGAAGTCACTGAGCATGACAGACCAGCTACGAAGACAACTCTACCAACAACATCTACATTTGAAGTGGTTGGCAAACATAGTCAGCTTCCCAACTGTAATGGCGAAATTGAAGCAAAGTCCATGAGTTTAAAGTAGTTTGTTAAGCAAACCTATTAGTTGGTTTGCTGAATGAGGTAAGGAACACAAGGAATCGTAGGCAGCAAACTCGAACGAATTAGCACAAAAACCAGGCGACAGCATGGTCACATTATCAGATATGGTTTCTTGAGAAAGAACCAGATTCAATGTTTGGGAGCAAGGACGCCACATCGTTTGTGGTCGTTGTAGATGGAATTTAGCAACTAAATATACACAGACCAGTTGCAGGACTACGCCAAAATGGGCAGCTAAATATGATGGGGCGATAGCTTGAATCAATGTTCCCTGCGAAGGCAGGTAGCAGGTGAAGCAATAGAGATGGCTCAGGATCAGGAATGTTACTGGAAAATAGAAAAAACGAAAGCAAATAGCATAGTACCTTCGCATCGGTCCAGAGGCTGCAACATGGCTTTTCTAAGTCGTCAGATACCCAAACATGCAGGAGCCGCAATTTCAGAATAGTTTCCATGTCTTCAGTTCCATTAAGATCGAGAAGCAGCTTAGGAGTAGCCATCGCCTTGTTTTGAGGAAATAGAGGAAGAAGGTTAAAGCGAGAGTAAGAATGAGAAAGGTGGAACAGCAGTAGCGTTATTCTTCTGGTGAGGCAAACAGAAGGGTCGGGAAATTACGACGCAGGCACAGCAGAAATAAGGGTGGAAGGTAGACGAAGTGAAAGGAAAAGAGGAAAGAAAGGGGATAATATCGGCCATAAGTGTTGGGCTAAAGGCCCAGATGGAATAGGCGGGGCGTATTTTTTTAGGTGGGTTTTTTTCTCCAACATCAAATCTGTATACTGGAGCATTAGGTATCGTTGCCGATGGGGGACTGAAAATCATAAATGATGGACATAATTCTGGATAAACGGGAGGCATACAAAGTAATGTTATTTCTAAGGATATGCAATAAACACAAGAGTTGACGATATCAAAAGATAAGAATAAATACGTAACAATAGGCGGTTTTCCTGTTTCAATAATCATAATGTCAAAGATCACACGTGTGAAACGGTGGTAGTAGGCAAGGGAATTGTTGTCATCACTTCTAAGATCTAAACAACCCATAAATCATAAAGACCACAGTAAGGACCAATTGCCTAAATGAGTACTTTTGTGCCAACGACATATTGGTACACATGCAAAAATGATTCCCAAAAATGTTTCCTAAGCATTCACAAAAGATTCAGTCTGACTGAACTACCTGATTAATTCAGGTGGTAGTTGTTGCTGCGAAATAGGGAGATCAACAAAGATCTACAAAATATGTGCACCATGTGCAGGGGACGACATGTACATCATAAAAGACGACCTAAGGTGTTGTCAAGTATGCCAAGGCTTAAGTAGAAACAGCAAAGAGCGGTTAACCAGCAGTAGTTTGGCTGATTCAAAATGGAGCTGGTCGAAGCTGTTGTTCAATCGTCGAAAGCACAGCGATCCCAGAGTGTCGCAACCCTGATATGTGGCACTGTGCTTTGACCTGGGTTCGACCATGCAATGTATAGCTCTGCTGCGAAGGTCTTCTTGCAATTTTTCTTTAAGATCCCTTTTATTTCATCTTCGTTCAGCTTGAGATACTTAGGCGGTAGCATGCAGATTATCGACAGAGCTGCCTCATGATTGAGGACAACATCAGCCTCAGCTGATTCAGATTTGCACCTTGCTTCGATTTGGTAATGCAGCCTGGTTATAATAGAAGCTCGTTAGCTTTGTCGAGAATAATGCAAGCGTTCCTTGCCAAAAGTGCAACCGGGTCAATTTAGCTATTCAAGCTCACCTTGGCGTTTCCTGGGTGGTTCTGCAAATGTCATCTGTGTATTTGACATGAGTAAACTTGATTATGGTTCGGTAGAGGGTCTGAAATACGAAAATTGTTTTTGCCAGGTTAGAGTGCACAGTAATAGCAAATGACACATATTTTAATGTTGGGATTTTACAAAGCATCGTTATATACCTCACGCTGCTGTGGTTCTGAACTCAAGTCTTCCTTTATTTGAGCAAGTGTTCTTCTTGGGGGCCGAGGATAGCGTAAGTATCCTATCCTTTCAGCTGTTCCAAAGATTATGTACTTGATCGGTTTGCGGTATGGCGGAAACCTAAGTTTCGCGAATATACGTCTATGTTAGGATAAGGTGTTGCAATGAAAGCACATTTGAAGTTAACAAATTGTCTAAGAGATTGTTAGGAAATAACAAATACATGTTCATGACTCTTTCAGTGGTTGCATTGTATGCACTGATAACCAGACGACTGGCGCATGTCGATTCCAGCTCATATATACCATCATCGTTACACTTATGGGGCACGGCGACAACCGATGTAACTGTGGTTATAAGCGGGAGGTGTGACTCTACATCTGCTGCTTGTTGGAGGTAAGCAACGACATCGTAGCCACAGTTTCCACCTACTACCTCCAGCCCCCTTACATGTCTTTCCCCTGCACGAGGCTCGAGACATCCGCTCCTGGCATGGCCGGTAAGAGCATGTTGGGACCCTTGGAAAAAAAAAAGAAAAGAAAAAAATAACAGAAAACAAGCAAAACAGAAAGAAAAGGGACTGCAGTATAGTGGCACAAGTAATAAATATCGAATCCACGGGTCTCTAGAGTTACTATTACTCAGCTTCAGTTCATTATCTAGCAAACTAGATTAAGGATTGATTAACTAAACTACTCTACTAACTAAACTAAGTAAAACTACTAATTACAGTTTGGGAACTCACTTAGGTATGATTCCCCCTAGCTCCTCAATTAGGTCCAAGTTGTAATTCCTTTTGGTTGATTTACTGTTGATTAAACTGCGGAAGATCCGACAGTAGCTTGGAATCTCTTAAGCTGACCAAGCCCTCTCAGTCTAACTATCCGGCAGACGACTAGTCTTCACCGGGATAGAAAGCTGAAGCAATAAGCACAGAACTCCACTACTAGAATTGGATTCCAGTACAAAGCAGTAAACTGGCTAACTCTCGTATAGCCAATCTCCTACTACTGAATGATGAGACTCTAGCAACCTAATCAGATTCTATCTATCTCATATTGCAGCAGGAATCAAGAAAAGTTGATCAGACTTCAATTGACTCAATAAACATGCATCATTCGATTATAATCAAACAATATAGCATCCAAAACTTCATACAAGAAAGATACTAACACATGGAACTAGGGTTCCTCAAAACCTAAGTGAAGGGAAGTTACTCCATAGAGAAGAGAGAGACTACAGAAATCTGATCTAGATCTTCAATCTCCATCTCCAAGCTTGATTCCCGAGCTCCAATGGCGAAGAAATCCTCCAAAATAGCTCCAAGAATGTTCCCAAGTCGCTCTCTCTCTCTCTAGGGTTCGTCCCTTGGGTGTTTGGGATCCAAAACCCAGCTCTCCCCCTTTCCTTTTGCTGAAAATCGGTTTTAAACAGCAATTCCCGACTCACACGGCCAGGCCACACGGCCGTGTGGCATTCCCAGCTGCCCGTGTGAAGGCTCGGTGATTTCCACACGGCCACATGGCCAGGTTACACGGCGGTGTGGGTTGTGCCCATGTGGCTTGCTCAGCCTCTGTTTAATGCTTCGTTTCTCCCTTGTCCGGACTCCGAATCAGTCGCCGTTTGATCCTAAACGCTCGTAGTCTCGTCCTCTTTATTTTAATGACAAGCTTGCATGATTTTTTGTCCATAAAGTGAGGTAGAAATCCATTCTTCTTCAGGTCATACCCGAGTTTCTTCTCCCGAATCGTCAATTGATCTCTGATTGACTTGAAACTTGCGCCTATGCTTCACTTTATGTGCTAGGACCTGAAATGTGACAAATGAACACAACCTAGCGTAAAATAGGACAAAGACACGATAATTCAAGCTCAAACAATCAAGAAACAAAGGGGAAAAGATGTGCAAATACCGAGTCATCAAATCCCCCCACACTTAACTGTTTTCTTGTCCCCAAGCAAACCTAACTCAAACCAATGCAGCTCTCCAGATCTCTATAGCAACATACAACCCCGATCGTCGGTAGAGGATTTCCTAGATCATATAGCAGCTTACGAGGTCAACTGGTCTTCTAAGACGTTCCCTATCTCTCTCAATGCGAGTACTAGACTCAAGCCAAGATCATGAGAAAAGTAGAAGTAAGACAGTCAGTTCATGGATAAAGGGGCTCACACCATTCACAACCAAAGATTCGTTGTACCGGGGTGCTCTTTCACTTCATTTCACCGTTGGAACCCCTTTTCTCACTTTCATTTACATTTTTTCTTTCATTTGGTGGGGTTCCAACTGCAGTCTTTTGCACGGTCGACCCTTATTAGTCAAGCAAGAGCAATTTCTGTACATCTGGAGCTCGCCAGAGTACTTCTTTTAACTCCTTTTCCTCAACTCTTGTGGAGGGTCAATGAAATTAAGGGGGGTCGGAAGCTCTATCCGTGCCCTTAAAAACACATCCTCAAGTAGGCAAACCGTTCAACGAGTGGAAGTTTTACTTGTACTAGAGACAACTTAGCTTCACCTTATAGGAGTACCCCACTAAGGATCACTAAAATCTCTTCCAAAACCCGATTTTGTGCAATGAACGGTGCCGCACACGTTGGGCTTACCCCATGTTTAAGATTTAATGATTTTGACATGGAGGACCAACTGCTTCCCATTTTCCATATGAGCACCCTGTTCGATACACGAGTCCATAACATAATCCAAACAGAGTCACCATTACCACATGAATTCAACGGTCTTAGCTCCACTAATTCACAAAATCAACTGGCACAACAGAGAGCTAGATAGGAAAAATCTTATACTTCAACATCCTCCATAGTGCTACACTACCTCCCTAGGTTGCACATTACTATAGAGACTGTCAATTCAAAGCATACTGAGCAGGCAATTTGCAAGGAAACACATACTTGGAGCCCTCAAATTTAAAAATTTGGACAGTGAACTAGGCTCCAAGCACACAAACAGCCAAACATTCACCCGCATACATAATCGAACACCCCCCCACACTTAAGCACGACATTGTCCTCAATGGAGGAAAGATAAGGAGGGTAGAACGAAGTTACCAGATCAAGGTTGAATGATGATGTACGGGTCAGGCAGTGCATTCCAGGAAGAGAGAGTAATCAGAACACAAACACCACAAAAAATCTCACAAAGGTTGAGTTATTGACTCTAAAATCAAATAACAAAACTGACTCAACCGAGGAGAAATAGAGAAAAAATGCAAACCGACTGGTTGGGTTGCCTCCCAACAAGCGCTTCTTTCACGTCGTGAGCCGGACGATGGCTCCTAAGTTTCGGTCCATGCTAGAACCTCCTTGAAGTTGAGGTTCTCGTCGATGAGGTGGAGTCTCAAGTCACGAGCATGTGGTGTGGCAGGTGATGAAGGCTCATGTACTTGATGCAGATGAAGTCTCCACCCTCGAGACCTCTTCTTCTCTTCTCTCGTCTCATTGCCCCAAACCAGATATGACAGTATCGATTGGCCACCATCGCGTCCACCAAGAGGGACCGATGTTGATGTGGCCTTGGTCTGGCAAAAAGAC